ATTAAAGACTTCAGCAAAATAAATTAGTTGACCACGAACCTTCCTTTCTGTATTTAAAAATTGCTACGGCGATAGCTCGCCTATCTTTTTTTTAAAAAGATAAACTTGTGGCACGTAACCTTATCCTTCTGCAACCAAAACCGGAAACTTCCACAAGGCGCTACCTATCGACAACGGTAACTTCAGCAAAGCGCTTCCTATGATTTGTATACTGCTGGCGTAATACGCCCCCTGGTGAGAGATTGACAATATGCTGTGTATGAAGAGTGGCTATTATAACGATTATATCGAATTCTTATTAGTATTTACCAGAGCATTGACAATACTTAGAACACTAACTTCAAAGAACTGAGAATTTGGTCCTTATTACATGTACATCGTGCGATCGCGATTTATAGCAACTGTTAGTTTATTTTTGAAAGTTTTTTTTTTTTTTTTTTTTTTTTTTTTTATTGCCCCATCACATGTCCAAGTATATAATAGTGCCAGGGTTGGGGCCCTGGGTTCACTAAGTAACATACATGATACACATATATATTACACAATCATAATGTGACAGGACATTTTTTTTCACATATCATTCACACACCTTTCGCTACATAACATGCATATGATTATATTTTTAATAATATTTAACAACTGAAATCTTAATATAATCAGTGAAAAGTTGATGTACATCTGTAACTGCATTGTTTTTTCAAAAATATTAATCATATTAAAACATTATCAAATTCCATCGTTTTTTAAAACTGTCCATTTCCCCATTTTTCTTATAAATATATTTTTCACAATTAAAATAATACATAACCTCTTGTTTGACCCTCTCAAAAGATGGTACACATTTTTTGCATCTATTTCTATAAATATGCTTTTTTATTATACATACTACTAAATTAAATATATTGTTATATTTATAATGTTTTCCCAACAAAACATCAACTTTGTTTAGAGATATATCAACTCCAAACTGTTCTTTCATCCAATCCAGTACATTTTCCCAAATTTCTGCAACACACTCGCATTCCCAAAAAAGATGATAAAGTGTCTCTGGGTGTTTCTTACAAAAACTACATAAATCTGAGTCAGTAACACCAATTTTGTGTAAATATGTATTTGTAGCTAAAATTCTATGTACAATTCTATAGTGGAACCATCTTAACTGTATATCATTTGTTATGTTAAAAAACAGAATGTTTTGTTTTTTCCACCAAAATTCATCAACATTGTTCTAAAATGTTTTCCCATTTCATTTCACTTTTTGGTTTTTTGTATTTCTGACTAATAAAAACATCATAGAAATCTCTTGCACCTTGTTTGCTTTTTGTTATTGTTTGTAAGAATTTTGGAAAGAAAGGTTGATTTCTTTGAATTATATTATGATCATAATTCAACTGTAATTTTCTAATACAATTTGTTATGCCTAAAAACATTGTAAAAGGTGTTTTTAAATCATATTGTTTACAAAAGTCTTGGTATCCTAACAAAGTCCCATTTGTATCATAAAAATCAAAAACAAATTGTATACCTTGTCTCAGCCATGACTTATAACAAACACTTCTGTTGTTTATACATATTGATGGATTATACCATATGGGACTTAAAATAGATGTTTGATCATCAATACATAATCTCAAATCCAACAATGCTGAAAAAACATCATTCCAGAAAACATTTTCCGTATCTTTCTTAAGTTTTTTTGAAAAATCCCTACCATAGATAACTAAATATTTAATGTCAGGAATTAAATCTTTTAGCAATTCTTTCCAGGCTGATTTACATGAAATATCAAACAATCTGCGAATCCATGTAATTTTTAAACTTTTACAAAATGAATCAAGACATGTCATTCTCATACCACCGTTTTCATAACTTTGGCATATAATATTTTTAGCCACCCTAGCCGTTTTGGTATTCCAGATATAATGAAAAAATATAGCTTCAATTTCTTTGAGTTTTTCTTTAGAAGGGCTCGGTAAACTAATTAATAAGTGACTAAATTTAGGTAAAAGCAAGGTTTTTACTACTGTTATACGACCTGCCGTTGATAAATGTCTTCTAGACCATGATGATATAAGCTTTTTGACAGAGTCAATCTTTGGCAAAAAATTCAAATCAAACATAGTGTTTGTGTCTAGATCTACACAGTATACTATACCTAACACTGTAAATGGTTCCTGTGACCACATCAAGTTTTGATATTTATCACACAAGTTATCATCAGTATGAACAGTAGATCCAATCCTAATACATTGAGTTTTATCATAATTTGGCTTCAGTCCAGAGAATTTGGAATACTGATTGACTAAAGACAAAGCTGATCTAATTGAGTCTTCTGAACCATCCATTAATAAAACTGTATCATCAGCATATTGTAGTAGTTAATATTCTTTATCTTCAATAACAATGCCCTTTATTAATTTATTATTTCTAATCATAATTCCCATTATTTCTGCACATAGTAGGAACAAGTAAGGTGAAATTGGGTCACCTTGCCTACAACCTCGTCCCATTTGGAAAAATTCAGAAAAAATACCATTTTGAATAACACATAACTTAGGTTCTCTAAACAAAATCTTTATCCATTTTAAAAAATTCTCACCAAAATTAAAAAATCTGAGTACTTTAAAAATAAATCTCCAAGAAATAGAATCAAATGCTTTCTCAAAGTCAATCAATAGAACAAGACCTGAATGATCATTCTCTTTACAATAATGTATGATGTCATATAATAACCTTGAGTTTTCACCAATATATCTACCAGCAAGAAACCCTTTTTGATTTTCATGTATTACTTTTGACAGAATTGGTTTCATTCGATTTGCTAAGACACTAGATAAGAGTTTATATGTAATGTTCAATAATGTAATTGGTCGCCAATTTTTTAATTGTTCCCTTGGCTTATTGCCTTTTGGTAGAATAGAAATAATTCCAAGCATCTGAGTATAAGATAATTGACCTACTTCATAGCTGTAATTAAAGGATTTGAGAATATATGAATTAATATCTGTCCAAAAAAACTTGAAAAATTCTGCTGTAAAACCGTCAGTTCCAGGTGTTTTGTCGTTCTTAAAATTTTTAAGAGCTTGAAGTATTTCTTGTTTTGTAATTTCAGCATTTAAAATGTTTTTCATATCATTATTTATTTTAGGAACCTCAAAGTTTTGGAATAAGTCTTAGAGATTTACATCATCAAGCTCCTGATCTTTGTTTTCATATAATTTTTTGTAAAAGTTCCTTACTTCTTCTAAGATATCTGCTTGCTTATTTACATATTTACCATCATTATTGATTAAATTGCTAATATTTTTATTGACATAATTTCTTTTTTCTAAGGCACAAAAATATTTTGTAGGTTTCTCCCCATCTTCTATCCATTTACAATGACTTCTTAACAATAGCCCCTTCAATTCATATTTTCTAATTTCCTCTAATTCTGTCTCAAGGTCACTTATCATATCTAGATAAATTGACAAAGGGTAATTATTATACATATCATGTAAAATTCTAAGTTGATTTCCAATCTTTGCTTTGTGATCCCTCCTTTCTCGGGTCAAATTTGCAGATAATTGTATTGCCATATCCCTTATTTTCATTAATAGAACATCAAGAAAAAGATTATCTGGTATTCCTAACATTGATTCATCAATACGATATTCATTATCCGTTTCCCTTATAATTTTTTTAACATTTGTCACAAATTCTTTGTTTCTCAATAAGGAATTGTTAAAACGCCAGAATCCCTTTCCACGTTTAAATTCATTAATAGTAATATCTAATTCTATGATAGAGTGATCAGTCCTATAGCCTGGCATCATGTGAACATCATTTATAATTGATAAGAGTTCCTCTGATACTAAAAAAAAGTCAAGTCTAGCCTGTTTTACTGGGTTCTTCCTACTCCATGTATATTTTTTAGCATCTGGGTTTTTGATTCTCCAAGGATCTACTAAATTGAATTTTGATTTTAATTTTTCAATTTCAAGTTTATTTTTGGGATTGTTTTCTCTAACATAATTGTAACAGTCTAACTGGTAATCTTGTACTACATTCCAGTCTCCACACATAATTATAAAGTCAGTATCAAAAAAATCATCCATTTTATCACTTATTTCTGCATAAAATTTAGGATTATCTTTATTGTGACCATATAAATTAACCAAAGTGATTGAGTACTTGTTATCCACCATTATATTTGATATAATGAAATTCCCCTCATTATCACTATAAACTTTAGAAATTTTTATTTCATTTGTGTTATTAAAAAGGGTTAAAGTCCCTCTTGCATCTGATTTTCCTGAGCTGATGAGTATGTCATTACCCCATTGGGCATAAACTGAATTTTTCTCTAATTCTGTACAGTGGGTGTCTTGTAAACAATAAATAGATGATTTAAAATTTCTTAAATAGTTTAGGACATCCTTTCTTTTCATAGAATCATGTAAACCTCTGCAGTTTACAGAAGTAATTTTTAACTTAGTCATAGATTACACTACACAGTTGAATAAAGGCAAAAAAAATATGCATGTTGCATACTCTCCATTCTTTCACACATATATCAAAAATGAAAAATACTTCCTGTATGGTAACAAAACAAATCAAGAAAATTCATGTATTACATCGCATTGGGTCTTTTTAATTTAACTTAGCCACCTAAATAAGATAGTGAACCGTAGTTCTCTCATAGAAAAAATAATAATAAATACAAGCTCCTCTAAGAACTTCTACCAGTAATCTTTGTAATCTTTGTTGAAATTTAGGTATTTATTACATTAAAAAGAAAAAACCAATATGTCCCCATGTAATTTATACAGCAAACCATAAGCTGCCAAACAAATATATATCCTGAGACATACTACATGTAGATATGTTACAAGTTATCAACTATGACATAACACAGTAGTTCACAGATAACGATACCAAAAATTCTCAATATTTTACAAGTTATTAACAACTAAGGCGTAACTCTGAATTTTACAGATATCATCCAAAGCTCAAAACACTGGTATTTTACTTTTAAACATCTGCAGCATACCTTAGTATATCTTTCTAATAGCATCTAAAACATACTTATTATTTGACAAGTAAACAACACGATACCAACTGTAGCATAACTCATCACTTTACAGATATACAAAACCTTCACCATATCATACTCCTACAACCTGTCATCTCCTGCAAATAATCTTGTTCTTATCTAGATCAATTAGAAGGAATCACTAAAAGCGAGCCATTCTTTTTCTCCTTTTTGTCGATACTCCAGAATCACATCGTCTTTCGTTTCACGGATTCTCGTCTTCATTCCTGATTTCCTGAGTTCATATGCTTTTTGAGCCAGCTCTGCCCTCTTTCTCTTCAAATGCACGGGTAGATCTGTTCGTATTGCATAGCCTTTCGGTAGGGTAGTGTTTCTGGCATGATTTAGTATCATATTACGGTCCTCCATAAGAACGAATTTAACAATGACTGCTTCTGGTGCTTCAGGTTTGTAACTGCTGTTGGGGTTTTTTGGAACCCTATGAGAGTTTTTAATCATTATAGACTCTGCTGTTGACATGCCCAGTTTTTCACTCAAAAATTTCACAATAACCTCGTTTGAAACTTCATTCTCTGCTTTAGGAATGCCATAAAATAAGAGGTTGTATTTCCGAGATCTTAACTCTTGGTATGTAATATGATCTTGCAGTTCTTTTAAAGAAGCCTCAAGAAGGCTTACCTTTTTACTTTGGGGTTGTATAACCTCTGTGTTTAGCTTTTCTAAATCAGTTAATCGGTCATCTTGGTTTTGAAGCGCTGTTTTCATATCAGTTATCTCCTCCTTAATAACGATCAGCGTTTCCTCTACTTTTTTGTCAAGCGCAGTAAGCCTCTCGTTCATTGAACTCTCCAACTTCTGTATTAGATTAGAGAAAAGTTCCTTTAACTCTTTATTTGACACCTCATCATTTTGCGCACTCTCCTTCTCCGTATCTTTTCTCTTCGGCATCTTGCACGAGCTTCCCGAATTTCCTTGTGCAAAGTAGTGACTTACAGTCTGTTGCATTTAACAAAGAGGAAAATACCTGAAATTCACCTAAAACACGAATGTCTTCACGTAATTAAGAAAACTATCTGCAATGCCTCGTATCAAATATTAATGTTCACTTAGGAAAACAGAAAAAACGACCCTCTGCTCCTTCTCACTTCACGCCATTTGCGCAGCCACACCGGAAGTCTTATTTTTGAAAGTTGAACGATACGGTTAATTATAGAGCAGGTTGAAATTATTACAGACTGCAAAAACATCAGCAAATCTCTCGATCAAGTTTGATTTTCCTTGCCAAAGTATTAAGAAACACCATTTATTAAGTTAAGTAGTACCTGAAAAACGCTTTTACAAAAACACCGAATACATCTGTAAGTTTTACACTTTTTCTTAATCTTGGCAATTAGCAAAAATTTAAAATATATACTTAATGCTTATTTATAAGTTTTGAAAATTTGATCAATTCCTAGGGAACGTATTATTAGCTGTGAAAATACTTTTTAAATTTGAATTTGTCCAATTCTTCGATTATTATTTTGAGCGTTTGAGAAGAATTAAATTAAAATACAGGTGTTTAGAGGCACATTGATAGAAAAGAAATCAGTGTATATTGTTTAACCGACATATTGAAGAAAATGACACTGATAACTTCTTAAGTTACACTGACTATTAGTGTACATTTGAATTTTTAAATACTAGTATTGATTGATTAGACAACTTTCCTTTTCACATGTTTTTTTTGAGAACAATATTGCATGAAGAGTATATGGCAAAAACACATTATATGTCCTTATCTAGACATATTGTGCAAGACTTCTTTTAAATGATTCTCATTTACCATTTACTTTATTCGAAAAGTCAATAAAGTACATTTCATAAAGCTTGATAATCTTGTTTACTCGCCAGTCTTCCTGTAGAAGTAGTAGTTCATAATATTACTAAACGGAAGTATTCAGTATCTGTATCAAAATACAGAATGGTCAATGATCGATTTAAGAAGAAAAGCTGACTCCCGAAAGTTCAAGAGGTGGGATCCGTTGCCTAGAAGAAGTAAGCATCCCTCTTTGACAGGTTACACCCGCAGTGAGCCTACACATCTGGAGCTCTCTGATATCAATTCATTTACAAAGTCTCTGCTCAGCCATCCTTTTTTCTCTGACTAGCCAGCTGTAGATCTACACTACTCCAAATCCATTAATCTAAAGAATTTAACATGTCATTTTTTTCGTTGTTTGCTATAGTAGGCTTTACAATTACCTAATTTCAGATTCAATAGAGCATGAAAGACAATTACATTTTCAACATCAACATAATTGTTTTCATCCAGAGAACGACTGGATGCCACCAAGAGAGAACTTTTAAAAATGCACTTCCTGTCTTTCAAACTGAAGAAATCTCTTGTTTAAATTTTGAAACATGCATTTCAATCTAATTAAAATTTATTTAAATGTTCCAAATCCGCTACCGCTTCTCAAACATCCCATTCGGGGTCACATCAGAGCGACCTTTCGATTATGAATACATGTACTAGTAAACACAAACACTTTGGCCATGTAGATTTAAGCCTCGGTAAACATTTCTCAAATTAATTCCACGGCTACATATCATCATTATTGATACTGTCTTACGTTGAATTAAAGTAATTTTGGAATAAATTTCATGTATAGTCTGCAGTCTGGCATCTGAACGTGAATAATGCAAACGAAAGATCACAAACTATACAAGATACCCCACACGTCATACATAACACAGCTTTTGCAATGCATATTTTGTATACTACAAAACTCCTCGGGTGTTTTGGTTCGGTGGTGAAAACAAGAAACCCATCTGAACTATAGCCAAGATTTCGGAGGAACCATTTTCTTTGGCTAATTAAAGATTCACTCTTACATGACCCCAAATAGGATGTTGTTAGATGTTTGAGAAGCAGTAGTGGATTCGGAACATCTAATTTTAATTAGATTGCATCCATCTGTGACATCAGTTTGGAATGTTATTGGTTTTACTATTAAGTAAAGTATTACAAAAACAGAATGTCTGTTTTTTTTTCTCTGATGACATTGGACAAAGATATGCATACTTAAATATCATCATTTCATGCACTAGTTTCGGTACATATTAGATGAAAGCATGCTAACCGCTTTTCAGTACTTTCAGTACTTTGATCTTAAATGTGAATCTACAATACACTAATTTAAAAAACAGAGGATGCTGCTTCTCAATAAGTAATATGAATTATCAAGACTGGAATTTGAAATCATTTTTCCTATATATTTCTTAACATAACTTAGATTTGATAGTTTGGTCTTTCTTTACACCCATCCCTCGTGGTCATGATTTGAAGAAGTTCTAAGAAGAGGAGGACATTATGAAAAGTTTATGACAACTACAACAACAGACAAATTTTGATCAGAAGAGCATATTTCAGCCTTCACCTTTGGTGAGCTAAAACCTACAGTGGAATTAAAATTTGAATAATGGTATTTTGTAAGTTAGAATGTCGTATGAATTAAAATGAGCAACTTACCCAAAATCTAGCTAATATCTTATCAAGGATTTTGTCCATTGTTTGATGAAATATCTTTTTACGTTTTTCTTTGTGGAGAAAGTGCACATTAGTTGGTAAATAACTTTCAGGAATCTCACTTGATTCTTCAGGCATGTCAAAATAATGCAAAGTAAATTCTCCGAAAAGTCCTTTTCCTACAGTTGTAACGAAGTCCTCGTGAGCGGCAAACCTGCTTTTCACTTTCCCATTTACATTGGAACGTAAAGAATCTTGATCATCCTTATATTTTAGATATATTAATTCAGTACACTCATCTCACTCTCAAGGGTAAAAAAGTTAATTTTTGTTGGATTCCGAGCCACATCGGCATCCCTAGAAACACTAGGGCTGACAGTGCAGCAAAAATAGCACTTCAACATGAAATTACTTTATTCAAAATTCCTTACACTGATTTGAAATATCTTGTTAAAATTTACGTTCATTCTCTTTGGCGAATTTATTGGAATTTTTTATGATGAAAGTAAGCTTTATGCTATCGAAAACAAAGTTAACAAATCATGTGACTTCGGTCTGAAACGTCAAGACGAAGTAATTATATCAAGAATACGTATTGGTCACTCTAAAGTTACACATGCATACTTACTGAATCGGGAGTCTCAGCCGGAATGTATATCCTGTGATTGTCCGATAACTGTGAATCATATTTTATTAGAATGTTCTGATTTTACGCCCATTCGAAGTAAACTTTTTGGTAATGCAAAAACCATATATGAACTTTTTACAAATGTTAATGTACATGCAATTTGGGAATATTTACGTGAAACTGATTTTTACAATAAAATATAAAAATGATTAGAGCACTTTTTTGAAATATATTTAGATCATTTTATTTTTAACAGTTTACATATTCATAACAGTTTACCTATTTTTAAATTTTAAGTCCGTCGGATGGGACATTAAATGGTGCCCCGTGTCAGGGATAACAACCCCCTTAGCACGCAAAAGACCGTTTCTCTGGAGTTCGAAAAAGAGTAGGCTCATTGGGGGCCGCCAGAGAAACCAAAAACTTTCACAAAACCGGTCAATAAACAAACTTGTCCGCCGAAAATGGCTGAAATATTGCCGCCTCGGCGTTAAACAATATAAATCAATCAATCAATCAATCTCGCGAAATGTGTTCATTTACTGAATTACCCTCTGGAAAGGATAGATCGTGTATGATTCTAAATTCTCCGGGTAGCTTCTTTGGCACCAGCCCTAATGGCGAACAAATAAAATTGTCAAAAGGTTTAAGTACATAAGGACCTGAAATACGATTGAGCCCTAATTCCGTATTTAACTTGTTGTTAACTACCGTTGGACTTCTCCTAACAGATGAGTGATTGTTCTTAAGGATATCCGATCCTCAACCAGGAAGGATAATTCCAAAAATTAATATTTAATTTGAAATGCATCAAATTGAAGCTTGAAATGAAATTTTTTCATGCAACAATTTTTCATTTTATTCATCTTTATATGATGCAAGGTTTTTGGAAGTCTTAAAAGGAAAAAATTAGTACAGTTTTAGAGAAATAAGATTTTCTTGAATTAAGCCTTAGATACCAATGCTTATTACCATGATATGAAATCAGAAGTGATTTACGGTGTCTTGCAATGATAGCAAAAGCCTTCTACGCTGTGTATTATGGAATACATGATGGAAATAGAAGACAAAAAATACAAAATACGTATAAAAATCATGACAATTTCTCTGAATGCCTGGATACCTATCGTTCTTTAACCTAAAATATATTTGTTGATCAATCTGCAATGAAAATGCATTGCTGATATTCCAATTCGCTTTTTCTGCAAAAATATTGGAGATTTGACAGTTTTCCCTATATAATATGATTAACTTTAATCTTAAACTTAAATTTACATAACTTTGTGGATTCAGAGAAACTTTTATGAGTATTTTTGATTACTTAACTGCTAATTTTATAAACCTGAAGATCGGACTACCTTAACAGAGGTTGGCAGAAATTCACTGCAGCCCAGTTTAAAACCAAATTTAAATCCATCAACAAGAAAGTCAAGTAAGACCCTGTCATAACCTTGCAGTTCCTGATAAAGAACTTCATGTTTTATTGTTGTTGGTACTGTTTGGTTTCCTGATAGAATTGTTTCGGACCCATTTGTGACATTTATTTTTGGGATGCTGCTCGCCGCAGTATTGGCAGATGTGCTTGTATTTACATGGTGAGGTTTTACAAGGTTTACCATTGTTGTAGTTGTAGCAGAAAAACTCCCACTGTTTTGTTTTTGACTGGTTGAAGGGGTACTGGGAGGAGCGAAATGAACGAGTTAGAGTGGAGGCTTTCACCATATACTCAGTAATGGGAAGTTGCCAAGGTACCTTATTTGATTGTCGGAGTTTTCTAAAGTTTTCATCATAATATCTCCAGGCCCCATCCCCATTAGAACTCCCAATTTCCCTAACAGTGAAACAATATTTTAGTAGATTGGCATGCTCTTGGGGTGACTTCTCGGTGTAAATTGACATGAATATCAAAAATGCTGATGTCCACTGATGAAGTGACATCACTGACTGTTTTGTTGACTGAGGATTTAATTGAATAGCATTACTTTCTATTTGAATTGAAATGTTTTCGTCTTTGAAATTTGGAAGTAAACATTTGAGGTC